ATTACATCAATTTGTGCCAGGAATGTCTGAATTTTGTTTTATCCTCTTTTGTATTCTTTGGTCTCTTGCTTCTTCCTTATCTGTATACTAAGTGCTATGTTCTTCAAGGATCTCAAGGCAGCTCATAATGGAGAATTTTTGGCTTTTAATGTATCCATAGTAATCTGATAGAAGTAAAAGTCTGATTGTCAACCTCCTGATTCATTTTGCAACCCCCTGACTCTGGTTTAAGTCTGTAGACTTTGCCCTGAATGAAGCTCCAGTAGACTACTGCTGGCCCTAGCCTCTGTGAGCTAACTGGAAAGCTTTTTATGTTCAGAGCACCAGGACTTCAAATGCTTTGGTTTGTGATTTCTACCTTCCTTACTTACCTTCAGGCTTCAGATCAGCCTGGTGACTGAATCTGAGACCCAAATCCAGGATCAGAAACACATAAATGCTCCTCTCTTCTGTTCATGCCTCTTGCCCAGTAAATAGTCCCAGGCCTAGAGTCACATTAGATCTGTGACCCAGCTCAGGGGTAATTGCAACAGAGGTTCCAATTGGTTCCTCTTCCTATGTCCTGTACAGCACCAAGCCTAACCTTGCTGGATCCTCTTCTTATCCTAATGCACTTCTTACCCTAATGAACTGCTACAAATGTCAATTTAATCTGCATACTGGAAACCTTTTTGCATCCTCCTGGATAGATCCCAGGTTTCCACAGGCTTCTATCTTCTTATGCTGACTTGGGTTCAAAAAATGATTTAATGTGAATTTTTCTCTGAATTTCCCAGTCTGGACACTGGTGCTATTTCTAAATCTTTCCTGGAAGGGGAAGTTTGGGAGGGGGAGGAGTCAGAATCAGGGATGTACTATTTTCACCTACTCTACCATTTTGGTTGGTTTTCTGATGGATGATTTTTAAGTCTGAGAATCAGTTACCTAAATTAAGACAGAGAGAGAGAGAGAGAGAGAGAGAGAGAGAGAGAGAGAGAGAGAGAGAGAGCGCGCGCACTCTAATCACAGGTCTCAGTCACCAAGGTAACTACTAATGTAGCCCTTGACAATCAATAGCTGTATGACTGTTCAAGTCTGTGCTAAAGTTTCCTGACTTGTAAAATTAAGTTCTAAAACTATCATCCTATGATCCTAAGTCTCTTTGACCATGTCTATGTCAGGCAGCTTCAGATGTTCAGACATTGGCATTTAGAGACTCTCTCATCTATAGTAGACCTGGTCTCAAGGGGTGATTCCCAAGTGGTTTCTATTGCAATATAAACATATGTTTCTCCAGTAAGACAAATTCAGCCAGTATACAACCAAAGTTGGTGAGTCTGATTTTAGTTTAAGGGAGATAATGGGGTGATAGTAACAAAGGAGAGGGAATTCACAATCCCAGACTTCTACCTGGGCAGGGACCTGGATCTATCAGAGAGAGAAATACAGGTAGTAACATCCCATACATAAACAGAGGAATTTCTATGTTCCTCTAAGGCTCTTAGCATTTATAGATGCATTGGAGAAAACCTTGCTGTGCCCTCAGACTATACATCCTTATAGGCAGCAAGAAGTTTCTATGCTGTTTGGGAGAAAGAAAATGGACAGAGTGACCACATTAAGGTCTAAATAATAAGTCATCATAAACTTGAGTCAGAAATAAATGACACAATTGCTTCTTATTTACAACAGTTCCATCTGATTCTCCTCAAAACCAAACCCTGAGTGCCCTTCTGCTGAGTGTCCTCTTTCATCTTCCAAATAGAGAACAAGTTCCTAATCTGTTAACCTAAAATAAAATTACAAAGTTGGTTGATTAATATACTTGGCTGTGAACACTAAAGGTGCATGGTCATGGAATCTGGAGTTGTGGAGGAAGAATGGAGGCTACACAATCCAACTTCCTAACTGTACCTCTTGAAGTGGACTATTAAGCCTCAGCATGAATATGCCCATTGTTGAGGATTCTACTACTCTTAAAAGCTGTTCATTTTGTTCTTCTACAGTAGCATTGTTAGAAGGGATTTTTTTTCTTTATTCTGAATCAAAATACCCCTTTCTCCAGTAACAGCATTTCTGCCACACCTGGTTTATGTATCAAATTTAAAACCTTTTAAAACTTTCTTTTTAAAATGTTATTTTGCACTTTATATTCTGTGACTTTTGAGATAATAGAATTATAGCAGAAGCACATTCATATCTAGGATGAGTTAGAACTATTGCTAAGGAAATTGGGAGAAATATATAAAACAAATCTTATGATTTAGTTTACTTAGCAATTTAGCTGCCAGTCAGAAAACTGTTTGGGAATAGCTTCTCTGTCTTTATCTCGCTAAGTTCCTCAGAGTTTGTCTCTCTCTCTCTCTCTCTCTCTCTCTCTCTCTCTCTCTGTTTCTGCCTATTTTTCTTTCTTCCTCTTACAAAACTGGGAGAAAAAACCAGTCAAGTCATCTGTGCTTTCATTAGGGTGCTAAGTTATTTTGGTGTGTGTGTGTCTGTGTGTCTGTGTGTGTAGTCATCTGAAGGAAAATTGAAATAGCAGGTATTACTTGAAGATGTAGAAGAAGTGACAGGTACTTAACCTAAGAGAAAGCTATGCAGAAGCCTGGGACCTGGTAAAGAAATCAAATAGATAGAAGGTTTGTTGTTTAGTTGTTTTTCAGATGTGTCTGACTGTTTGCAGCCCCTTTTAGAGTTTTCTTGGCAAAGATACTGTAGTGGTTTGCCATTTCCTTTTCCAGCTCATTTCATAGAGGAAAAAACTTGAGGCAAACAGGGTTAAGTGACTTGACCATGGTCACACAGTTAGTAAGTGTCTGAGGTCAGATTTGAACTCAGGAAGATGAGTCTTCCTGACTCTAGGCCTGGCACTCTATCATCTATTGCATCACCTAGTGCCCTTAAATAGAAGATAGCTCTCCTTGAACAAGAAAGGGGGAAAAATTATAAATGATGATGCAATTTCATTCAACAGTCATTTATTAAATATCTACCATGTTCCAGGATCATTTATACTATTATTAGGAGATTTGAAAATTAATGGGAAAATCAACACATGATAGATACATTTTTATCCATTCTTCCTGATACTATCACCAACAAGTTATGCAAACCCCACTGGAAGTATCAGTTTTTTTTTAATCTCTAAAATGGAAATATTGGTCTACATTATCTCTAAAACATAGACAAAAATTCTATTGTTTCTCTTTCTTTAAAACATGGCTTTATACTATTTTCTCTACTTTCTTGGATTCCATTGTCAAATTATTTTAATAAAGTGCTGTATTTTGTAAAACAAGAATAACATGTTTATCTCCATCATAGGTAAAGCTCAGAAGCCTATTCATTTCATGCTTCAGGATATGTGGCCAAGTACTGCCCCACTGAGGCAGGTAATACTCTTTGCTGAAATAGTATGCAAGTGCCCTGCCTACTAACAGTTACTAACTAGACGGAGTTATATCAGAATGAAGTTTTTGTGCTATTGAACTTATAAGAGGTGGAAAAGGAGCCAAATGATTTTGGCAGAAACAATGGTAAGCAAGGGACCCATCCACTTCAGGGAGTCTCAACCCAGGGTCAGAGCTCATGGCATGGGTGTCCTCTGAGGTAGCAACTGAGGTTGAATTAATGAAAAGGTGATAAGTAAAAATCAGAGCTTAGACAAAAGTAAGCAAGAGGCTTCTTCAGTGCTTAGCAAAGAGTTCAGTACTTTGACCTAAGTAGGTTGAAGGAGCTAGAGAATTATAAGTCCTCAACTGTGTAAAATAATCAATGGAATGAAGAAGCAGGGTAGCAATAGTATCCAGAGGAGAGACAAATCTACTCAAGAACCACACAAATAAACCAGAGTCCTGAAAATTCGAAGTCTGAGATCAAAAAGCCCAGGGCAAAAGACTGATGAAATGCCTAAAATATATGATGAATTTTAACCTAGAGAGTTGTGGCTGGCCTTGCCTAGTCAATCAGCTTTATGAATCACTGCTATGAGCCAACGCAGTGACTCTTAGGCTAGTATTTTTGAACAGAAAACTCTGGTTTGATTATCATACCTAGTTTTGGCTTTAGTCAATTCTTACATGCTTTCTTTCAAGTCCCACATGCCATCCATGAGCTAAGTGGCATTTTGGCTCCATAAAAAAATATAGAGAATCTCAGACTTGTGTAGGGCCTCAGAGACTATTTATCATCCAGCCTGGATACCTCCAGTGATGAGGAATTCACTACCATATATGGTAACTCATTTAAAATTTTGGAACCTCAGATCATTTGGATATTTTTTACTTTTTGTTAAGTTAAATCTTCCTGTTTGGCTACCATCCATTGGTTCTATTTGCCTTTGGGAGAAAGAAAAAAACCAATCTATTCATTCTTTCAAGTGATAACTATACAAATATTTGAAGATTTTTTGGTGTCTTTTTTTTTATGGTAAACATTCTTAATTCCTTCAACCCATCCTCATATGCTGTGGAGTTTAATTTTCCTCAGTTCTTGTCTACATCATCTGAAAACACTCTAGCTTACCAGAGAATCACAGAATCTCAGAGGTGGAATACAATACCTTAGAATACTTTTTAAAAATTCAATTCTGGGAATGCATTTACTTTGTGAAATGCTAATAATAATAATATTTTACATTATTTATCAAATTGAGTATTATTTGTTGGCTATAACTTTCATGTACATATTACAATTTTATCTTAATTCTTTCTAAAACATCTATTTTCTGACACATTCTGGAGCACATAGTTATAGTATTTAGAGCATTTATAGTGTTTGCAACATTTGTACTCAAAGTAGCTCATATTTGACCTTTTATTTGAAGGTTAAATCTTGCTAGTATTAATTTGGAAAATGGCCAAGATAAATTTACTAGGCAAAAGTAATGAAATGTCACTTTAAAATGACCTGTCTTCTTTATGGTTCTCCAGATAACGGAGGAATGGGATGAATGTAATGTCTCCATTAAAGGGTGAAAGAGTCCTCTTCTAGTAAGAGTGGATTTCAACAGCATCCAGAGAATGTCTTCACTTAATAGCACTGAATTCCACCCCTCCAACTTCCTGCTACTGGGAATCCCTGGACTGGAAGAATTGCACATCTGGATAGGGTTTCCTTTCTGTACTGTGTATCTGATTGCATTTGTAGGAAATCTCAGCATTCTGTTTGTGATCAATACTGAGCAAAGTCTCCATCAACCCATGTTCTACTTTCTAGCTATATTGGCCACTGTTGACTTGGGTCTCTCCACAGCCACCATTCCTAAGATGATGGGCATTTTTTGGTTCAACTTAAAGGAGATTAGCTTTGAGGGATGCCTCACCCAGATGTTTTTCATCACATTTTCACCGGTATGGAGAGTTTTGTGCTTGTGGATATGGCCTTTGATCGCTATGTTGCTATATGCCACCCTCTCAGGTATAGTATGATCCTCACTAATAAAACCATTGTCATTATTTCAGGGGTAGCTATCCTGAGAAATTTTTCTTTAGTGACACCAATGGTATTTTTAGTGCTCCGGCTGTCATATTGTGGTCATCATGTCATTCTTCATACCTATTGTGAGCATATGGGAATTGCTCGATTGTCTTGTGCAAGCATCAATGTAAACATCATCTATGGCTTGTTTATTATTTGTATAATATTTTTGGATATGACCCTGATTGCCATTTCCTACATCCAAATTCTTCAGGCAGTTTTTAAACTTCCTTCTCAGGATGCTCGTTTCAAAGCTCTCAACACTTGTGGTTCCCACATCTGTGTCATCTTAGCCTTCTTCACTCCTGCTCTCTTTTCGTTCCTTACCCATAGATTTGGCCACAATATTCCTCACTATATCCATATCCTATTGGCCAATCTATATGTGGTTGTCCCTCCTGCACTCAATCCTGTTATTTATGGAGTCAGGACCAAGCAGATCCGGGAATGTTTGATTCAGATCTTGATCAGGAAAGATTAATGTTAAATGAAGAAATCTACACTATTCTATTCTGGATTTTTTTTCTCCTGGGAAAATGACTTTTGTAGAGGGACAGAGTATTGTGTTATTTTCAATAGTGAAAAAAATCTCACAATTAATAAGAAACCAAGTTCTCAGGGACAACTCATTCAAAAAAATAAAAATATGGAGATTACCTTTGTGTCAATTCCAGTGTAAATATATGAGAGTGGGAAAAGGATATATTTGTAATGTCTTGACATTCAGCAAGAATTTTAATCCTTAGACCTTATATTCCCCCCACCCCATATGCATGTTGTGGTCCAGGACAAAATAAATTGGATGCTTCAGGTTTAAATAGAAAGCAATTTTATTTCCCCCCCTCAGCTCTGGTATATGTATCTTCCAGGGAAGAACAATGGCCATACTAATTTTAAAGTGTATAGCTCTTTTTTACCCTTCTTTCAAAATGCTGGGGAGAAGCCTGTAATTCATGACCTTATTCAGTAACTACAAATGTATAAAGTTCAGTGCCAAGGTTTTAGTCCCCAGAGGGGCAGCAAATTTTATGCAGGAAATTTATCTCACAATTCCTTTGATCACAGAATACATTCTGAGGGCTCCAGGGACTGGAAGATTGAATACAAGAACCAAGTTCCACATTAGCAGAAGCCACCATCAAAGCTAGATAACAAATTTGAATTTCCTATATTATTGACAGTGGCTCAGTGACATCAAAGTTATGCACAAAGGATCACACAATCTGAAAACAATGAAAACTATTTGATAAACAATTATGTAAGAATGAACAGAAAACAAACAAGGAATCTTTAGCATGTAGTTCAGTTCACTTGGACCAATGGAGGAAGTAGATAAGATCAGGGAAAAAAAATGAGAAGCCTGACATAAAGCCATAACAAAACAGTGATAAGAGATGTTATTTATGTCATTGTAAGATTTCAGTTGTAGATCTGGAAGAAACCCTACAAGATATCTAAATCAATCCTTCCATTTTATGGATGAATAAACTGAGGCTCAGTGAAGTAAAATAACTTGTCCAAAATGACATAGGTAGTAAGTGGACAGAAGGAATGTGACTTGAATTCAAGCACTCTGCCAAATCTAATGATCTTCCCATTCCATCATGTCTAGACATGTGCTACAGACCTTTGTCAAAGGCAGATCTTTTAAAAAATAATCTAAGGATTTTTGAATTTATCAGCGTGAGCACTCCCTTTACAGATGCAGCAGAGTAAAGCACTTATACCTCTTAATTTATTATTTTGGAAACTTTGTGCCCAAAAACATTTGTGAATGCTTAATAAATACTTGCTAAACTATAGAACATTTACAGGTTGGGATGGAGTTTTGAGACAATGAGGCTAATTCATCTTTTCTTCTCCCAAATTTCCTGCAATATGGCACAGTTTAAACTAAAGAAATCAGATGGTTTAACTCTATTTAAACATGCCTAACTCCCATGCCTATACCACTTGAAAGGAAGAAGTAAATAAAGAGAGAGACAGACAGACAGATAGACAGAGACAGAGACAGACACAGACACAGACACAGAGAGATACCTTGGAGAATAACAACTGACAAAATTTGAGAATGTACCTGTTGTTATAGAACTACTTATCCCTACTGTTCTGAAGTCTTTGAGCTGGTGCTGATTGACTGAATGAATTAATAACTGTTTAACTGACAAGTAATAACTGACTGACTAAATGTACTCACTATGTAAATATGTAAGTACTTACCATGTGCTGATCACTATACTAAGTTCTAAGGAATACAAGGAAGCAAAACAGTCATTCCTTTCTAGGAGCTTACTTTCTAATTAAAAAAAACATAAAGGGGAGCTAGAAATCTGGGGAAAGGGCAAGTGAAGAGCACAGTCAGAGTAGATGGCAAGATTTAGAAATGGCCAGGGAGTGCCTTGGTGTCCTTGTACTAAGAAAGCTAAGGCAAAAGCTCACCTATCAGGTTATTGCCTTCTCAAGGCCCCAAAATGGGGACCATCCAACTCTCTCCCATCTTCCCACCAATGTGCATTGAGGGTATTCATGTGACTGAAGACTTCTATGGCCTGATCCCCTATCACACATGCTGACTTAGGTTTAAGCCTACAGTGGGTCATAAGCAGACCCCAGACAATGGGCTTCTTCCAAGTTTTTGATCCTAATCCACAGCTAAGCCAACATCATCCCTTCTCTTATTCTACAGCTGACCAAAATCTAGATAATTACTATCATGCTTATCACCCCTCTCTAGCCCAAAATATTGGGAAAGCCTATTGTTCAGCTTTACCTCTACTCTTTCTTCTCTTTCCTCCATTAGTCTCCTGAAAAAAGTTGAAAGACTTACAAGGGCATGCATGCAATTCAGTCCCCAACCCTACCTTCAGTAAAAATAATAAAAATATGGTTCAATATAAAGAAAGAATAAGATAAAATAGTTTAAAATGGAAATGTAGCTTGTTGAAGTTATTAGTTTGAATAGCTGAAACAGTACAGAAAATTAGGCTATACTTAACTCCTGAACTATAGGGGAAATGATGCTAAAATAAATATAGATGGCTAAGTTCTTTCCTTAAAACAAAAAAAATTATGAAATACAACATGAAATAAGACCCACCAAATTGTTGGTTACCAGACATACATTTCGTGTAAGAGGATAGAATCAAATAAAATTAAGAGATCAGTCTAAATTAGATAATAGAACTCTAAGTTCAAATAAAGCAGGGGCCACATAATGATATCTCAGAAATTGGATTTCAAATGAATCTAAAAAAAGAAAAACAGAGACATTGTTGATTCATAATGGTAAAAAGGAAAATCCATAAGAGGTATATAATAATTCTCAACTTATATGCAATTATCAATGACAGTTAAATTAATAAAAGATTATCAGTGGTACAAAATAGAAAAAATATATAGTAAGAGCAATACATGTACCTCTATCTTCTAAAGTCAAAATATGACAAGTCAAATGAATGACTAATATTATATCACCAGTCAAAAACTTAATAAAGTAGAATTTAAAACTATACGGAAATAACTAAATGAGCAAAACATGGAAAATATTTTCAAATGTAGAGAGGCATAGAAAAATTGACTACCTACTAAGTCATAGAAAAATCTATATACATAAAAAAACCATTTCATTGTATTTCTAGAGAATGGGAACTAAATAATATTGATAGCATAATTTAATAACATAAAAGTATTGAAGTAGCTAGATGGCACAAGGTATAGAGTGCCTGACCCAGAGTCAGGGAAATCTGAGTTCAGATTCCATCTCGCATTTACTAGCCTTGTAGCCTTGTGCAAATCACTTAACCTCTTCAGGTTTTTGTTATTATTCTTTTCAGGCAGAGACAGTGGAGTGATTGCTATTTCCTTCTTCAGCTCATTTTACAGATGAAAACAACTGAGGCAAAAAGGATTAAATGACTTGCCCAGGGTTATAGAACTAGTAAGTGTCTGAGGCCAGACATGAACTCAGATATTCTTGACTCCAGGCCTGGCATTCTATCCACTGTGCCACCTACCTGTGCTTTCTTCAGTTTATTCCATTGTAAAATGGGGATAATAATAGCACCCATCTCGTTGGGAGGATTAAATGAGATAACATTTGTAAAGTGCATAGCACAGTGCCTGGCATATAGCAGGTACTACGTAAATGCTCATTATTACTATTATTACAATAATATCAAAAGCTATAAAACTAAATGGAAACAATCTATTATACAATGTGTGTTAATGAGAGCTGATCACATCTCAAGCTTCTGAAATTTTATCCTCAAACCCAGATAAACAGATTAATTGCCTTAGTACTATACTTGTACCTCTGGAACATTAAGAGGAGAAGTGGAAGGACTTTAGCATGTTGTATAGAATTTTTCTGGGAAAAAATTAAGAGAATAGATAAAAATCACAGGATGCAAAGGTATAGATGAGTTGTTATCTGCATGGGTGGAAAGATCACCTACATCAGTAAGATCATGGATACAGTTGAAGTATTTCCTTTACCACAAGCCACAGGTTCTACTGAACTTCCTAATTCAATTTCACAGGACCATGCTACTCCTTTTTATTAGACTATGGTAAATTCCACATATTATCATGTTATCATTTGCACTAATTTCTTTGATGGATTTTCTCATTAATAACAGTGTTATCTTTTCTTCTTCACTGAAAGAATTTGACTCAATGTACCCAAATGGTTATTTCTAAGAGCTTATCATTCCTCATGAGTTGACCTCCCTTTCATATTTTCAGATGATGGGATCCTCATTAGATATTGCGTTGCCTTTTCCTGTGTCCTTATCACTTAACATCTTCATGTGTAGACTACATATTGCAGAAGGGATTCGTGTGAATTCATAGGTTAGAAGAGGTCATCTTCAAGGTCCCTTCTATATATGAGAGGTGGTAACCTTATGATTCTTAACTAATTTAAATTTAATTTTCTAAAATTAATATTTTTGGTTCACACTATACCTGACCTCAGGCAGCTGGGTGGCATCATAAATAGAACACGAGGCCTGGAATGACAAAGACTCATCTTCTTGAGTTCAAATATGGTCTCAGACACTTGTGCAGCCCTAGACAAGTCATTCAACCCTGTTTGCCTCAGTTTCCTCATCTGTAAAGGAACCTGGAGAAGGAAATGGCAAACCACTGTAGTATCTTTGCCAAGAAAACCCCAAATAGTGTCATAAAGAATCAGTCACAACTGAAACAACTCAACAACAACAGCAAAATACTTGACATTTCTTTCCAGTGGAACTCTAGGATAATATTATTATTTCTCAAAGGTTTGTTGTTGTTGTTGTGTTGTTGTTTAATTTCCATTCCCAAACCAGTTCTTCTGTACTGGTGAGAATGAGGTCTGGAATAGCATTGTCCTTCATTACTTCCTCCCCCTTTTGAAAGATTAAATTGTCAACAAAACAAAACAATAACGTACTGGCTACTCTTATTTCCACAGTTACAGATGTCTAAATAATTGAAGTTCTCCATAAGAATTGCATTATATATGCATGCAAGCTTTGCGGTTTACATCAGAAAATTTTCATTCAACTCCTTCAGTTAACCTGGAAGATGATAATATATTCTCACCAAAATAACCTCTCTTTTTCCTCTATTCCTCATCAAAATGCTTGCCGCTGTATTTCCCCAATTTCATGGAATCACATACATACACACACTTATGTGCATTAATATCTTCCTCATTTGCAATACCATTTCCAACATTCCTTTAAGGCAATCAGCTTATTTGGAAAGAGGTATAATCTTTCATTGGTGTAGTCTAGTGATATGTTTTAGGGCATCAAGTTTTCATGATTCTGATCAATCCATTAACTGTACTTATTAAGCACTCACTATCTTCCAGGCAGTTTATTAAGTGATAGAAATCATATTTACCTCCTAACATTATTACTAACCTTCCTACATTTTGCATCAAGCTTTCTATTGTATCTAGTTTAACAACTACATGTGGACATTATTATTCCACTCACCTTACTTTTCAGTTTAAATCCCTTTCCATTGGATGTACCAGACCTTTGCAGTGCTTTGAACTTAGCAGGGTGGAGATTAACTTGAGGTCCATGTAGTCAAGTATGGTTTATTGGAAGAAGTTCGTATCATACTAGAATTTAAAGATGGAGAGGAATTGAATAAATGGAATCAGTATTAGAGGGATGATATTTCAGTACGGGAAAGGTGATGAATAAAAATTTGAGAATAAGTATGACACAAATAGCACAATCTGTATGACTTACTTAAGGCACTTTTTTCATCTCTGCTACACAATAGATCCAAGAGGTAGGAGTTTCTTTGAAGGAGGTAACAGGAATAGAATGCAATATCCACTAGAATGTGTGTTCTCTTTTGAAACAGGAAAAACAAAAATAATCCATTTCTGATCTCCTTTCTGTGAAAATTGAGGCCTCTACCTCTTTGATTTTATTTCTACTGTGTTCTTCTACATATAAGTTGTCTTTAAAGAGCCCTTACAGTTTGTTTTTTTGGGGGATTTTTGGGGTGTCACTGCAGAGCAGCATCAATAAGTTTGCGTGTTTTACTTTGATGGGACATCACATCTGCTGATTTTTCTGGCAGTTTATCCTCCTGCTCCTATTTTTTATTGAAGACAAGTGAAAATTATGGACCTGAACAATTTGAAGCAAGTTCTTGGGAAGCACAGATACCAATTGGAAATAAAGCATTTATGTGGCAAGAAAAATGAGGACTATAAGCAAATATCAAGTGGTTACTAATAAAGAGGAAAATGTCTCAGATACGATGTTCTTGGAATCTGCATTTTAAGAGCTGCAAATATGTGTACTTGAAGAAGCATACTATTTCATGTCCTTTGTGTATGTAACCTGATCCCTTTGTCTATAAAAATATTCCTTCTTCAGTGCAACTTATCTGAATCTATATCTTAATTGATCACTTAGCACAAGTGACAACTGCTCTGATCCATCTGCTAAATTCATGTAACACTTCTTCAGGCATATTCATATTTACCTATTTGCTTATTTACCTCTTTGGAGTCTGTATTCTTCAATAAAATGCATGCTCTCTGATTTCAGGAATAGTCTTGTTTTTAACTTTGTCTGCAATAGCTAGAACAGTGCGTGTAGTAGACATTTAAAATGTTTGTGAAATTTAATGGTTAGCTCTTCTGACCCCTCTTACACTTAGTAATTTAACTCCTATATAGTGTCACTCATCTCCTTTAAACTTGTAAACTACATGATGCTTTATTAAGAGGAAGAATAAGGGTTCCATTGTCTCACATCATATATTCAGAATGCAAGAATACCATACGATATAACATAATATATTTCAAAGAAATAGAAAACTTTTTAGAGTTAGAAGGGGCCACAGCAGTCATCTAGGCCATCTCATCCCTGAAAAGAATCCCTCCTCTCATAAAATCCCCAAGAAGGCCTGATAGTCGTGTGTTAAAGATGGTAAAGTAGAGATACCTTTCATGTTAGGTTTGGACTGGGCAAATGCTGAAGTATTTTGTCAATCCCTATGACTTTTTTGGTTCTAGAAATATGTTGTAGTACATTGATTTGAATATATGAACTGAATCATGGCAACTCTTACTTTTTCGCGCTAATAAATGAACATTTAGTTTGAAGATTTAAAAGGACAATTTTTGCTAAGTAAATTAAAGTACAGAGTTAAAGGATTCCAATGACACAGAAAAGTTTCAGAAAAAAAAATGATTCATTGGGGCAGCTAGGTGGCGCAGTGGATAAAGCACTGGCCCTGGATTCAGGAGGACCTGAGTTCAAATCCAGCCTCAGACACATAACACTAACTAGCTGTGTGACCGTGGGCAAGTCACTTAACCCCATTGCCTAACTAAAAAAAAAATGAGGCCTTACATATGTTTTATGTCTAATTTTCTTACACACTTTTTAGTATAATGATGTTCTTTTATCAATACAGTAGACTGTGTTAGGAAATAATGAATTAATATAGAATTGTATAATTTTACTTAGACCAGAAGGCACATGATGGAACATCTCATCCAACCTGCATTTTACCAATCAGGAAACTGGTCCAGAAAGGTGACTATATCATGAGTGAAAAAAACAAAATGAAATACTGGATTAAGAGTGAGAGAAACTAGATTCTACTCAGGCTATTCTACTTGCTATCACTGTGGCTTTGGAAAACAGACTCAGTTTTCTTATTTGTAAAACAAGGGCATAAGACAAAATGGTTTCTAAGGTTCATTGTAGTTCCAAATTCTATGACTATTTAAATGACCTGATACAGGTTGGTAAGCAGGAGAGTTGGCACTGGAAAACAGTTATCTTCTTTGATAGCTAAATGTTCTTAGCATTAAACAAGGAGTATTATGTTGTGATTATTATTCCCTGTAACTAAAACCATTATTTGACATCCACATTTAAATAATATGCACTATTTTTACATTCAAACAAGTCACTAAAAACAACTATATTATATACATTAATTCTTGACCAAATTTTCTTGTAGTCAATGGATGAATCATCATAGCATATGCCAGTCATTCCTGCTCTGGAAAATTGGTGAATGAAGGGGTCCCTAATATAGATCAGAGGAATAGAAATGGAAAGGAACAAGATAACAAGCTTGATAGACTGGAGACTTCACCATTTAATGGCATATTTCTTTTTTGATAGTCCCTTTCCATAGGGCTAAATAAGTTTATTATTCCAAATTTTCCACTGTCCAACCATAGTATTAAAATGGCATGTTTAGATTGTCTGCCACTGTAAAACATGTGTTCTACTTAATACAGTTCTGAATAACTGAATTTATTCGTTTGAGGTAGAACGCAGAAAAAATTATAAATTAGTTTCTTCATGTTACAGTGATGAAAACCAGGCTTTCTTAAATAGTCTCAGCACCAGTTCACGGATTTGTTTTGTTCTGATTCCATAGATGACAGGATTGAGTGCAGGAGGTACAACCATATAAAGATTAGCCAGGAGAATATGGATGTATCCGGGAACATTATGTCCAAATCTATGAGTGAGAACAGAGAAGAAGGCTGGGATAAAGAAAGATAAGATCACAAAGATGTGGGAGCCACAGGTATTGAGAGCTTTGAGCTGAGCATCCCTGGATGGGAGGTGAAAGACAGCATGGAGTATCTTTATATAAGATATAGTGATAAGGATCACATCCCCAAATATCACAGCTATAATAACTAATCCAAATACAATGTTGATTTTAATGTTAGCACAAGACAACCGGACAATACCCATATGCTCGCAGTAGGTATGAGGGATGATGTGGTGCCCACAGAAGGGCAGCCTCAAGACAAGAAACACCACTGGAAATATCAGAAAGAAATTAATCAGGATCAAAAGTGCTAGAATGACAGCAATGGCTCTGTTGGTTAGTATCATATGATATCGAAGGGGGTGGCATATGGCAACATAGCGATCAAAAGCCATGGTCACAAGCACAAAAGTCTCCATAGCAGTGAACATGTGAATGAAGAACATCTGGGCAACACAACTCCCAAAGCTAATCTCTCTCTTATTAAGCCAGAAGATTCCCAACATTTTGGGGATGACAGACGTGGACAAGGCTAAGTCAATTGTAGACAACATGGCCAGAAAATAGAACATTGGCTGGTGGAGGCTGCGCTCAGTCTGAATTACAAAAAGGATAGTGAGGTTTCCCAAGAGTGCAATCAGATACACAGAGCAGAAAGGAAAGCCAATCCAGATGTGCATCTCTTCTAATCCTGGGATTCCCAGTAAAAGGAAGAACAAGGGGTGAAATTGAGTGTCATTGGAAGGGAGCATCTTGCCAGGGATTATTAGTTCTTTAGAATACCACTTTTTTTTTCTGAAGTCTGGAAAAGAAAAAATGTTTGAGTATTATTTCCTTCTTGATTTACTCATACAGATGATACCTCCCTTATTATCTTTCTGTCAATATTCTATTCAACCAAAATCTATACTTCAAAGGTGAAATAATCAGATCATCAGGAACAATCTGTGTTATCTAGTAGGTGAGAGCAGGATTTGAACCTACCTAAAGCCCCATTCTGGAAGAGACAGTTTTTGGTTCCCCATAAGAAAAAAAAACTTTCTAAGGATTAGAATTTCCCAAATTGGAGTGGGCACTCTCAAGTGGTGATGAATTCAGCATCAATAAACAAGATTAAAGTGGAAAGTAGATAATCATACCTTAGAATTTATATTGAGAGACTTCCTGCTAAAGTATGAGTTAAACCATGTGGTCTCAGATTCTGTTAACCTGTTTTCTCTGCTCACTGCATCCTTTTTTGTTTCAAATCAGAGAAACTGCTCAACATTCTCATTTGATTGGAGGAAAGTCCCTTAAACAGTTTACAAACTAAGATGAAGCTTAGCTAATCTAATCTTAAACCTTTGCTGCTTTGTATTTTTCCCTTTCCATGTGTTTCTCTCCCTTCTCCAATCTAGTAGAATGATACTATCTTTCTCAGCCTTCAATGAAGATATCCTTGGTGGAAATGTCTATAAATGTTTTTACCAACTGCCACTTTAATATGGTCCAGGAGATTTCCAAATCATAATCAGGAGAATCCTGTTCTCTTCCTATCCCCACTTCATCTTCAGTTTCTCCCTTTAAATAACACTTTTCAGAACTCCGCCCAGCCGTGGCAACTCAAAGCTGGTTTAGTTGGTCAGGATTTTATTTTCCTCAGTTGAGGGGAAAAGGACTTTTGATCCCAGTCTCCACAAGGTTTGAATTATTTAGTAGAGACCAGAGATCAAGCATAGATAGGTATTTAGGTCATAAAGCCATGTTGGACCCTGCCATTCCAATTCTGGGCTATGCAGAAGGCTTAACAAACAATGAGGGGCTCATCATCACTCTGGATTATAACCCAGAGCTCTCAGTAGCTCCTCCCTTTTTTGACAACTTTTCCTACAGTCTCCGGAGGGAAAGGAGTTTTCTGAAAAGGCAACCTGAAATCATTCAGATCACTCATTGCAGAGCAGATCGGTCCATTCACAATGGGTCTCTCTGTTGACCTCCTTGCTTCCTATGACCACCCATATTAGATTAATAGTATGTGTAATTTTCTCTGGGTAATAAGAAAATGTGGCTCACATTGTGCTTTTGTTTTGAATGGATAGCAATCCATATGAAGTATAGACCTGGAGCCTTTTTATTGTTCCTAACCAAAGGGAAGTATGCATTTCCTCCTCCATAAGCCTTCCTGTAGCCTACCACTGATTCAACATTCTCTCTTATCCCCATTCTTGGCCTTTTTCTGGACTGACAGAAGTAAGAGGTTCTCTGAATAACCTGATCTCTACAGGCCATGTGCAGTACCTTAGAATATCTGAAAAATTTCAGGTGACTAGAATTAGCTCCATTTCCAATGAAGTTACAAACAGTAAAGAAAATATGATTTGAAGGAGGTAGATGCACTGTGGGGGTGGGGGTGGGAGAACAAAGTATTATTGCATAACTTTTATGTTCTTATTCCCACATTTCTTACTGTAATGAATTCCCTTAGTCCTGCCATTGGCTGAGGCTCTCTGCCCCACGTAGGACACATTCTTACCTCCATACATATCTCCTTAATTATACAAAATTTACCATTCTTCACTCCACCTCTAAACCCTCCATCGGTGTTCTTCTAGTCTTTCTCTACCTGATTCCTCATTTATAAACTAGATACCCCTCTGAATTTCTACTAAGTCGGTCTCCTTAATAAGATAGATATTAATAAGCACCCTCTTACCTCATTCTGTGTGTCTCCTTGTCTATCCTTCTTAGGAGATGACAGCTTGGTTCCTACAGCTTTTTTGTCTTTCTCCTCTCTTTTAAGTTACTATTTTTGGTACCCTGAGCTCTCTTAAATCTATAAAACTATTAAGGCATAGACTTACCAACTGCCTTGAAAATTAGTAATCCTTTCTCAGGGAAAGCATTCTACAGCTGCCACCTCTCTGATTTTTCTCTAATTTTTCTGTACAACTAGGAAAGGTTTATATTGAGACTGAAATCTTTCTTTCTCCCTTTCCTCCCTGAGAAAAATTTTACATAATGAGGATCCCCTGTGCCTGCAGCGTTCCTGAACTTGGTAGTTTATAGTCCCAGGGCGCAGAAATAGTCACAACAAATGAAGAATGCCTTTGTGGTCATATATTCTCTATGAGGTAATGGGATTGATAACTAAAGACATTTTCTTCTGCCACCTACTCTATATCAGAGTTAGTCTATAAATTACCATTCTGCTGAAATTAATCCCTTATTTATTGGTGAATATTGATGCATTATGGCAGAAGAGAAGACAGTATGTTTTTTTAAGTGGTTACTCCAGAAAATGAAATACTCAAATTGGAACAAAATAGAATTCTGGACATATGGTCCTAGACCATACTAAAGTTCCACTTGAAGCTCTCTAATAATCAATTAATCAACAAGTTTTTATTAAGCATCCAATACATGCCAGGAATTGTGTCAAGTCCTTCTAGGAAGGGAGAATTTGCTACCCCTCCTTATAACCTATTACACTTTTTGATAATTCTTTTAGGATGTTTTCCTTACGTGTGAAGAAAAAATGTCTTTCTGCAGCTTTCATTCATTGATCCTAGAGCCGCCCTGGGCCCAAGTAGGATGAATCTATCTCTTACCAATATGATAGCTCTGTAAATATGGGAAGACTAGAAAGTAGTTTTCCTACCCTAATCCCTAAATTTTTACAATACCCTCCTGACTGATAAATCTTATAAGGAAAGATCTTCTATGTCCCCTGTATGACTCTAAACATTGGGCTATAAGCCAGAGTGTGGTTATCTATGTTGGACTGAGAATTTAGCCAGTTCTCAGGAAAAGATACACTCTGGGAATGTGGCCAGTTCATCAGAACATATCAAGTTAATTAATATTCTAAGATGTTTTGCTTGCTTCCGGAACTTGGCCAGTTCCTGGACCAAGTGAAAACATCTACTAGAATCATGGGCACCTTTGGCACAGGGCCTTCTTTGTTAGAGGCCCTACTTAAATCCTAATTGGGAAAGCCATCTTTGGATTCTCACCCATGGAGAGGATGCTCTGCCTGGGACTTTCCCAATCGGGACCCTGAAAGCTGTACCCCAGGAATCCCCAGCTTGGACTTCAGGTGTTGGTGCTTCCCTGAATTGGTGAGGTTTTCTTATATTATTGATATCCTTTGTATTCTTAGCCTGACTATAGTCATATTGCTAATTGTATCTTGCTGTAAATCTAGCTTTTCTATACCTATATTATAATCTTAATTAAAGCTACCTTCACTTCTCTGTCTAGGAGTGTGTCTTATTGTAGGAGTGAATCCGAACCACATTTTTCTTTCTTAATCACACACCTACTCAAATTCATTTTTGTGAATATTTCCTAATACTTGGTTCCCAAAAATAAGCATAATACTTTAGCCATGGTATGACCAAGATAGAATACTGCTGTCATTTTAAACATTAGGCCCATCTTAACTCTGCGTAGATCACATTCACTTTTTTGGGGGGGTGAGGCAATTGGGGTTAAATGACTTGCCCAGGGTCACACAGCTAATTAAGTGTTAAGTCTCTGAGACTGGATTTGAACTCAGGTCCTCCTGACTCCAAGGCCAGAGCTTTATTCACTGTACCACCTAGCTGTCCCAATCACATTCAACTTTTGAGCTACCATTATGAGATACTAATCCAAAGTAAATATATGCTGGTATAGTGGATAGAGTGCTAGACTTTGAGTAGAAAAGATTTAAGTACAAATTTTTTTTAGACATTTACTAGCTCTGTGACTCTGATAAATTTACTTAAACTCTCAGCCTTAGTTTCCCCTTCTATAAAACAGGGCTAATAATAGCATCTTTCTCACAGGGTTGTTACAAGGAGCCAATGAGATGATACATCTAAAGCATTTAAATTGTGATATAAGTTCTTGCTATTATTATTGTTGTTATTACATATATATAAAGGAACAATAGTTTCATAAAAGATATTAAGAAATCCTTTCTTCTATAAGGAAAGAAATTATATTTCTTTCTTTAAAGGGCAGCTGGTACTCTAGGTTCTAACAACTGTAAATAAGTATGAGAATTGCATAAATAGAAGCTTGGTTGCAGAGAAAAGTTGAAACAAAGAATTTCCCTTCTTTGCAGAGTTTGTGGGATGTGGCCACGGATTGTCAAACTCATTTGATATATTGGGTGATTTTACTGAACTGATTTTTCTTCATTCTTTTTTATTCCTTGTTGGAAAGTATGGCTTTCTGAGTATGGGAGATAAAGCTATTCAGAAATGAAGTTAATATAAAAACAAAAACCAAGAAAAATAAAAATTTTAAACTGTATGGAAGATCTTAGATTGTAAGGCATAAACAGTCATTGAGGTCCTGTTGTGAAGGAGACAATCTAATAAAATGAATAGGGCTAGAAATAGTGTTTCAGATTGCTGCCAGACACGGCCACAGGCAAGATTAGGGAAGCAAATAAGAGAGGATACAAGTGCATCTGAAATTAGAGAAGATGACAAAAGGAGGAGAAGTTTAGAGAGAGACCAAGGGAGGGGAGTAACATGGTTAACTGGCGTACTGTGGATATATAGAGTAAGTGAAGGAATATAGCTCCATCAACTCTCTTAGATAAACACTGGGGGCAGGAGAGATTATCTAGGACCTATGAGAGGGTCTGTACCACAGGTCAACAAGGAGATGGTGGAAAACAGGATTTCTAAGGATCTCTGAGTCAATTGAATGAAAGAGATGGCTTAATTGTTTGTCCAGTTTCCACTTGAAGCCAGAAACCTAAACCTGAGTAACAAAG